TTAAGGGGTTGGACTCAACCCTGAGTGTCTTTTCCTTTTAGAATCTAAATTAAATAATGAGAAAGCCTTGAGACTAAGACGTAAGCTAAAATGTTTCCACTCAGGGGTCGTTGAATTCCAAGGGAATAGGGATGGTCTTCTGTGTTTTTGGAAGGATGGCCTTGATGTCACTATAGTAGATAGCTCCCAAAGATATATTGAACTAGAGATTGCTTCAAGTCTAGGAGGTATGGGGTGGACACTTCTATTCATCTATGGCCATTAAAGTAGGGAAGATCACACTTCTTTTTGGGACTAGTTTAAGACAAGAAAATCTGACGTTTATCTGAAGCCTTGGATCTTAAGCGGATGACCTCAATGATATCATTGACCATTAGGAGTATGCAAGCTCTAGCAGTCAATGTCGTCTCTCTTCCCCCTTAAAGTTAGGCATAAACGAATTTTCTCTCTCTGACTTGGGGGGAATGAGCCCTTTCTTTTTGTGGATTGACAATTAGTCTGGCTCTCAAAGGGTGAAAGAATGATTAGATAGAGTGCTAGCCAACAACCAATGGCTGAAACTCTTCCTAGAGTCTAAGCTGAACATCCTTCCACCTACAAGGGAGGCAAATTTAAAAAAATTTAAAAATATTTTGTGGTGTGGAACAAAGATGTTTTTAGCAATATAAATAAGAAGGTACAAGAGCTAGAAGAAAATATCTCAAGGAAGCAAGATTAGGCCTGAACCATTACTAATATAGAATCAATATAACAAATGGCTTAAACATGAAGAGCAATTGTGGCAGTTAAAGTTGAGGGAATTCTAGCTCAAGGAAGGAGACAAGAATAACGGATTTTTCCACTTTAAAATGAAACATAGGAGAAGATGGTTTGAAATTGAATTGTTAAAGAAGGGTAATGACTCTTGGGTTATTGGGAGGAAAGATATTGAAGAGTGCTTTAAAAAGAAAATTTTAGACATGAGTGGCGTAGAGGAATGCTTTGATCCCAGTCTGCTCGAAGGCCTTGTAAACCCCATTCTCTCGGGAGAAGATCAAGCTCTCTTACTCACTGCTCCCACTAAGGAGGAGGTTAGAGGACCTGACGACTTTATAGTCTTCTTCTATGAAAAATTAATGTTGGAGGTTAGTTGGTGATCCAAAACTTCTTCATAGGACAAAGACTTTTAAAGTAATTAATTAAACCATACCAAATTGGTCTTCATCCCTAAAAAAGTGGGTGTAGAGACATCTGATCATTACAGACTGATTAATTACGCAATGTCCTTTATAGGTTAATCGCTAGGGTATTGGTGAATAAAATGAAACCACTTATGCCAAAGATCATTAGCCACAACAAAGTGGCTTTTATTTCATGTAGTCATATTACAAATAACATAGTGCTAGCAAGAGACATTATTCACAAGTTTAAAAGGTAGAAAGGGAAGAATATATGGGCTACTATAAAATTAGATATGGCAAAAGCCTTTGATAAAATGGGTTAGCATTTTCTAATAGAAACAATGGTAGCCTGGGTGACCTTTTCTACATTAAGAGAGGGCTTTGACAAGGAGACTTAGGGATGGCAATTTTACCCACAAAATCGGGTCCCCGATCCACCCTACCCCGAACGGGGCAGATTTTCCCCGATCACAAATGCATACGGGTCAGGTTTGGGGAATTTTCTTTTGCCCCTAACCATGGATGGGGCGGGGATTGGGTATGCTTATAAATCCTAAAACCCGCCCTAACCCCGGTTGTAAATTACAAATATACCCATATATATAATGTATTAAGGTATTACCTATTACGTATTAGGTTTAGGAGTTAGCAGCCTATTTGTTTCCCTACTGACAACTGTTTCATGACTTTCGTCTTCCTTCAACCTTCGCAGTTCGCACATAAGAGAGATTGAGTCTTCCTTCAACCTTTGCAAAACCGTCGACCGCCGGGCGCCACCACTACCGTAGCACAGAGGAACCGCCGACCACCGACCGTTGTAGCACAGAGGAACCATCAAGTTCTTCATCTCTCCGTTTGTAACAGATCTAACAGCCTAGTTCTTCATCTCTTCATTCTTCATCTCTCCATTTGCTCTCTGTTCATTCGCCGACCACCAGCTGCTACCGCCGCCATAGCAGCAAACTTTCCAGTCTTTCCTTCGTTCTTCGATCTTCACTCTTTAATGGATACAAGAGGTGATGGTTGGACACTTCTATCACAACAGCAACCCCTATACAAACTCACATCTCTGAGCCTTCTCTTAGTGTCCTCTTGGTCTTTGTGGGGCGGGTACATATTGGGCATTCCCCATCCCCGACGGGGCTGGGGATGGGGGTTGAATCTTTACCCCAATACCGGGGATGGGGCGGGGATGAGTGCGGGGATTTTAGCCACGGGTAGCGATGGGGAGGGGGTGCCCCACCCCATACCCGCCTCGTTGCCATCCCTAAGGGGA